AAGCAGGACTTGGTAATGTGTAAGAGTCTCCTGCATGGTTCTGGTGTTGAAAGTGTGAAGGGGTCACAGAGAGCAGCTGAGGCTTGGCACTCTGAGAGGCCAGGAAAGGCCATAGGTGAAAGTGCATCTTCAGTTGCAGTGAAGACCCCAGGACTAAAGGGGTCATGGAGAGAATCTGAGGCTTTGCACCCCAAGAGGCAAGAAGAGGCCATCGATGAAGGTGTAGTCTCAGTTTCAGTGGCGACCCCAGCTTTTTGAAGATGCTGGGACCATGGGACGACCACCAAGGACAGCGGCAGGTGTGGCATGGAGCTGGCCTGTGTCTACGAGATGAGCTGAGTGTGCTGTGGACTGCAGTCAGAGCAGTGGAGCTGCCAGTACCCTTTGGAGCCAGAAGATCGTGAGTGAATCCCAGATGTCCAGCCTTGAGCTACTTTGCTGGACTTTGGTTTTGCTTAGGTGTGCCCGATTCTTCCTTTTGAAATAAGACAGTGCTTGTTTTGGATTTTACAGAAGCCCACCCACAGTTGAGACTTTTAAAAGAGACTATGGACTTTTAAGTGTTTGGATTTTTTTAAGGAGTGTGGGGTTTTTAAGATTGTACTGTCTTATGTTGTGATATTAATGTTAACAATATATCTTGGGGACAAGAATTGGAAAGCTTATGGTTTAATAGTGATGTGTTTGTGTGTCAAGTTGACAAGGGGTCAGTTGTGCTGGATAGCTTTAGTGTCAACTTGACGCACCTGGGTTGAGGGAGCCTCAATCGGGGAATTGCCACTATTGGACTGGCCTGTGGCCATGTCCGAAGGGCATCTTCTTGATGAGTGAGGTGGGAGGGCCAGCCCACTGTGGGTGGTGCCACCCCTGGGCAGGTGGGCCTGTGTTGCATAAGAAAGCAGGCTGAGCAGGGGCCAAGGGAGCAAGCCAGTAAGCAGCATTCCTCCATGGCCTGTGCTCCAGCTCCTGCTTCCAGGTTCCTGCCCTGAGTTCCTACCTTGGGCTCCCTGATGAACTATGACTTGGGAGATGTAAGCTGAATAAACCCTTTTCTCCCCAAGTTGGTAGTGGTCAGAGTGTTTTGTCACAGCAATGAAGAAAGAAACAAACTAGGACAGGGAACAAGACCAATCTACAAAGAGATTGGATAGGAAAATGGTGGACACTTGGATTTGATGAGTGATGTCTGTGTGGTTTGATGGGTGATGTCTGTGTGTTTTGACTGGTGATGTCTGTGGATCACTCTGAACATAACAGGATGAACATTTCCAAGGCATGAGCGCTGGCAAGGTATCTTGAGCATGGCTGGGGCTTCTGACAGGCACGTGCAGTCCATAAATGCTAGGCTCCTTGACATTTGTGTGTGACGACAGCAGCAGGCTCAGTGTAATATTTTTAACTAATTTTTTACTATTATGCGAAGGATTTCAAAATAAAAATACAGACATACACTGATTTTTCATTCTTCTTCAGGTTTTCCCCTAGTTAGCTAAAAGATGAAGAAGTGAACAGAGCAATGAAAGTCTAAGCAAATGTGGAGCTATTCTGGAGCTACATCATGCACTGTGATTCATTTACTGCCTAGAAATACATAAAGATTAGCTCACACACTTAGGGAAGTGTAATTCGGGTGTATCGGTACTCCTATCAGGAACAGAAAAAGTCACTTACCATTGCTGTAGGTACTGAATTTAAATAGATGGCTGCTTTTTTATTTAATAATGTGATTTGAAATTATGCCAATTAAAAAGAAAGAATTGCGGAAGTGGAATGCAGCCTGTTACAGGATTTTATCTGAATATTAAGTATAACAAATGATTCAGTTACAGACTTCATTTTCTCATGCAGCTATGCTCTGTCGTTTCAAGAAGGAAATTTGCTGAATTAAATTAGAGCTAATTTCCGGTTGTAAGTGAGATGCTTCTCTTATATTGACAGCATAAAAGTTCTTGAGCTTTATGACCCATTTAAACATTCCAAAGTGCCATCTTGGACTCCACAACTCTTCATAAAGGAAAATACCCATATTTGATAATGGGATTATGTTTGGAAACCCTATCCTAAATCCTTTGTTTCCTCTCAGGAAACCTGTCCCTGCCTGTTTTTCACTTAATATCCATCTTAGTAGACTTTGTCAGAGTTACTTGTTTAATTACAAAATGTTTATATAAATTCCTATCAGATGTCCTGTGGACTAAATACTGAAGGATAGCAATATTTCTAAATATGTTTATTAATCCTTTGAGAATGTCTTACAATATAGTTTAATCATATTCACCCCCTTTCTCCCCTAAATCCTCCTAGATGCATCTATGCCCCACACACAGACACTTCATTTTTTTATGACCTCTTGATTCCAATTTGTGCTGCCCATATACTCCTGGGTGTAGAGCCATCCACTGGCACAAGGTCGACCCAGAAAGAGCCGCACTCTTAAAGATAATTGAGTCTCCTTCTCCCCAAAGCCATCAGCTGTCAATAGCTCCTCTGCTAGATGTGGGGACTCATAAGCCTCTCCCCTCTTGTTTGTTGCTGAAATGTTGACTGGCTTGATCTTGTGCGGGTCGTGACTGGGCAACCGCAGCTTGAGCTCTTGAGTGCTGCGGTCCTGTTCTGTCTGGAGACACTGTTTCTTCTCATCCTCCCTGACCTCTAACTCTTGTAATCTTTCTGCTTCCTCTTCCACAGTGGTTTCTGAGCCGAGCCTCTTTTTAAAGTAACAGAACTCAAAATACTCAAGGACAGATACCCTGTTCCTAGTATACACACCACTTATAATAAGATGCCTCTTAAACCAAGTTGCTGGGGGACACCACACCTCAACATTTCATAATGAAGATTAGTTTGTGTGTGCACGCAGATATTCATATTGTGAATGTGGGTACACACCTGTCATGGCAAACAAGTGGAAGTCAGAGACAACGTTAGGAGTTGGTTCTTACCCTCCACCTTCTGAAGCAGGGTCTCTCATTGTTCACTGTATTAGCATGGCTAGCAGATTCATGAGCTCTCAGATTATAGACTCCAGTGCTACGAGTCCAGCTTTTACATGGGTTCTGAGAAATCAAACTCCGGTCCTCACACGTGGATAGCAAGCATTTTTATCCCCCAGTGAACCATCTCCCTAGACCCCATAATGAAGATTAAAAGAGTTAACACATAGGACATTTTGAACAGTGCCTGACACTTGGTAAATCAGATCTGACCATTACTGTTGCAGTTATTAACATGCCATCACCTGCTTAGCCTCCTCTGTACATTTGTGGTGTAAGTCTCATACCTGGGTGAACAGATTTAACTTCAGGAAACCTCCGTAGTGAAAAATGCCATCATTAAAATGCTATTATGCAGTGGTAGTATTTTTAAAATTGCAGCAGCATTTTTCATATTTAAATTAGTCAATTATAACTCTGGTCATGACATCCTAAATCTCGTACCCAGTGGAAAATGGGAATAAGTGATATTCTGCTTCATTGTTTCTGGCTGTTTTCCAGGATTCGGAAGGAGTTGAAATTATGTTAGGAGTCTGTGCCAGTGGTCTCTTGATATATCGTGACCGGCTGCGAATTAACAGATTTGCCTGGCCCAAGGTCCTAAAGATTTCATACAAACGGAACAACTTTTATATTAAGATCCGGCCAGGAGAGGTAAGTACCACCATATTTGCATGTGCGTTGGAAGAAAGGTCTCAAGTGCACACAAAAATATTCACTATGTGCTGACAAGTTCCAAGCCCTGTGGGACATGGGGAATTATAGCTAAATGCCTGAGAGAATTTGTTGTGGATTTGTCCAATAAATAGTAATAAAATGTTTTCATCTATATTACTTGTTCTGGTTTTTTTTCCCCAACTGCATACATTAGATGAAAGGATTTTTGAAATCATAATTTAATGTAGAATCAAGATTCATGACTAATTTTGTATATGTCAAGCTGTGATGAATAGCTCTCTTCCCTTCTGTTGTTATAATTCCATTCCCTCTTTGTTTTTCTTCAAATCTGTCTTCACTTTCAAGTGGGTAGCTTCAGGATAAGGTGCTTTAAGGTACAAGAAAGATTGGAACAAAGGGTGCCAAGTGTGAAATGCATAAATAGTCCACCACCTGGAATATTTTCACTATGTTTCTGCTTAAATAATTTTTACTCCTTGGGCAACAGCCTACACCATCAACTTATATATTCCTTAGTTATTTGTACAGAGTAAGTTGTAAATGTCTGCTTTTATTTAAGAGAAAGTTATTAAATACCCAGATTTCTAATTGGTATTATTAATATATTAGAGGCAGTCAGACCTTAAAGATTGCAGCTCATGTTTATGTATCTGAACATTTTCTGGTATAATACAGAGTTATCTTCTGTCTTAAGATTTTACCTCTCCACTAGAGTTTCTTGGTGGAAAATGCATATTTAAAAATCAGAATAAAGAGCAAGAAGTCATATTTAATGTAACCATAAAAATCAAAATTATTTACGTTGACAATCTGTGAGCATTTCACATAATTATGCCAGAAATTATAGAGTTTTAACAAAATATTTCCTAGCTGGACGTAGTGGTCCACACCTTTAATTATAGCACTCAGGAGGCAGAGGCAGATGGATCTTTGTGAATTCAAGGCCAGCCTGGCTTACATAGTGAAGTTCGAGGCCAGCTGGGGTTACAGGAGACCTTGTGTCAAAAACAGATTTTCTAAAGATTAAATGTTAAACAATAATTCACACACACACACACACACTCATTTTGATTCATTGAGCACTTAAGTGAGCACTTGTTTCTTGTCCAAGACCATGTTAAGCGTTGGAAATAGAAAAGTAGACAATAGCAACTTCTGCTGCACATGAATGACTAGAGCGAATATGAAATTGGGAAACGGAGATTGTGGTTGGAGTAACTTGATATATGTCCCAATTCCCCCAGCCATCTCCTCAAACAAGAAAAAAGAGGTTAACTGTAATTGTATCTCACATGCCATGCAAGCCCTCACCTGGGTGCCTTGCCACATCAATTACTTTTGCTATTGGTGTCAACAGTCTGGTTGTTTTGTGCTCTTTGGAATAAGCCTTTATATTTAAGTGGTTGCCCTCTGCTGGCCTGGTGTATGAAGTCTTCAGAAACTGAAAACTTACTGTGTATCTGCAGTAATAATATTAAGATGTTACGGGCTGGAGAAATGGTTCAGGGGTTAAGAACACTGAATGTTCTTGCAGAAGACCAGAAGATGTGAATATATGCTCTCCTGATCTTATATATAATATAGATAGGTGTTAGCAGTTAACATTATAACCCACAGTAGAACATACAAGAAGCATAAGTAATATCAAATAGCACATTATCAAATATGCATATTTCTTGGGCAGACATTAGGAGGAAATGTTGTATATGCTGTGAACTGCTTCTATAAATATTTTGTTCATTTCTGAGCATTTCATTTGAAGTCATTACGTCATTGACAAACCATAAAAGTATAACTTAAAAATTGATTTCTGGAGGGAGGTTCAAAACATCCCTATTTCATAAGATGTGCAGGAGACCTCGTGTCTACATGTCTAAGCTGAAGCATTAAGGTTATTGATAAAGGATTGTTTAAAATGACTGGATTGCTTAATATGAATTCTGAACATGACTGAATAAAGAAAAAGTATGAGTAGCATTATGTCTAAATTATTTACAGATTTTTTTTTTTGTTATCTGTAGTACCAAACTGTGTTTTGTTTTGTTTTTTAGTTTGAGCAATTTGAAAGCACCATTGGGTTTAAGCTGCCAAACCATCGAGCTGCCAAGCGCTTATGGAAAGTGTGTGTTGAGCACCATACATTTTTCAGGTAGGGAAAGATCATTTTGATTTCTTCCTAACAAACAATTGGAAGGATGGGAATGACTTCTACCCAAAAGTTATAGAGAAAAATTTGGAGGAATGCCATTTCTATCCCGCTCTCGTCTCACTGCCGGTAAATTATTTTACCCTCTATTTCCTTCTTTCTCTTCCTCTTCATTCTCTCCCTCCCTCCCTCTCTCCTCTTTCTTTCCTCTCTCCTCTCTCTGCTCACGTTTGTGAGAGTACAGGTGCATACATGTCATAACATGAACATGGATGTCGGAGGACACCCTTAGGTATTAGTTCTCACCTTCCACGTTGAGACAAAATCTCATTCACTGTTGCATACACCAGGATTCTCCTGTCTTTGCCTCCCGCTCACTGTAGATGTACTTGGATTACAGGCACTAACTTGTCCCGGCTTTACATGGGTCCTGGGGATCCAAACTCAGGTTGTCATGCTTTTGTGGCAAGTACTTTACCCACTGGACCAGCTGTCCTGAAAACTCTCAATCATCCTTCTTCAGTCTCTTAAGAGCTGGGATCAAAGGCCTGTGTGACCACATCCAGCTTGCACCAAGTTCTTAAGAAATCTTTAAAAACAAATCTGACTAGGGGCTGGAGAGATGGCTCAGTGGTTAAGAACACTGGCTGTTTTTGAAGAAGACCGGGGTTCAAATCCCAGCACCCACGTGGCAGCTAACAACTCTCCATAACTCCAGTTCCAGGGGATCCGACAGCCTCTTCTGTCCTCCGTGGGCATTGCGTGACACGGGTGCACTTGCCCGCATGCAGGCAATACATGCATACACATAAAATAATAATAATAATTAAAATCTGACTGAATTTGAAGAATTGTCTTTGTCTTTTACTTATCTGCTCTTGCTCCTTTATTATCATGTCTTTTCATTGTTATTTTTCACAGTTTTCAAGTATTATATCCATTACTATTTTTATTTTTTATGTGTTATATATGTATTTAGAAATAAGGTCTCCCATAGCCCGGGCTGACTTTGACTTTCTGACTCCCCTGCCCCCACCTCCCAAATACTAGGGTTACAGGCATGTACTACCATGTCTGATTTGCTATTTCTTTATTTTTGGGTAGTATAGGGGATACAGACCACAGCCTTGGACATACTAGGCAAACTTTCTACTACGAAGTTCTATCCTCAGACTATTCCTTTCTGTTCTGATCATTTCTTAATACACTGACTTCCTTTACTCACATAGAGTACTAGGCCCATCAGATTCGTTCATGCCTAGAAAAACAACAAATTATCACCCTTCTTCACTAACATTATCCATTTGGTCCCTCTTTAAGTTTATAGAATGTCCATTTGTAGTCGTAAAGTTATCTAGACCAACCAAACCTATTTTACTTATACCCCTCTATAGCATACTTAGTTAATTAGTACTGTTTCAATTGATAATATTCTTTCCTATAAAGTCAGATTCACGTAACTACAAGTTGTATGTTACTTTTAACAAAGAAAAAACAGCAATAAGCTTTACAAGCAATCTGAACATTTAAGTTAATTTTCTAGTATTTTTCTTTAATACCTTTAGACTACTGCTACCCGAAGCACCGCCAAAGAAATTCCTGACCTTGGGCTCCAAGTTCCGTTACAGTGGCAGGACGCAGGCCCAAACCAGAAGAGCCAGTGCACTGATAGACCGCCCAGCGCCTTACTTCGAACGCTCATCCAGCAAACGTTACACCATGTCTCGCAGCTTAGATGGAGGTAGGCATTACTTATTGGCTCCTAGCAGTTCTAGTAGCTTTGCAGAAAGGTTCAGGAAACCATTAAGAGCTTTTGCTCAACATACTGAGAAATGGAAAGAAATGGATCTGAGCAGCTGAATGGCAGAGTTTTAAGATCCTCATCTCCACAAAAGTGGCTTTGTCAGTCTTTTTTGTCGTGGATTTACTTAAGTTACATCGGTTAGGTACTCGGGGAATGAACATGTCTTTAGCATACTGGATTTGGTGAAAGATTATTTCATTCTAAATATAGTACTCACATCTTCTATAACTCAGTTCTCTTCCCAGAAGATCTCAAGTGACTAACAGGAAGAAAACTATAAGTTAAAAATATCTCTTTCTTAACAATTAGAATAAAAATTATCAGTTGGCTGATGATCATTGGGGAAAAGATGAGTCCAGTCCACCTGGTGGCCTGGGAGAGCTTGACTGTGGTGAACAACTACTGTCTGTCAAGTAGATGAGTACAGCAGGAGATGACCTGTCAGCATACATTTCTAGGAAAGAACATAGTCCTGAGTTTGTAGTAGGGTTCTCTTTTGTCTAACAATATGCGATGTCATTCTTAGTAACATAGGACATGTGCTTTCCACTACAGAGCACCCCAGCAGTAGTGACACTTAGGAACTGAATCATGGCAGGCCTCCATCATCTAATTCAGGGCACCTAGCCATAGCTTATTGGGTTCATTAGAGACTTGTTCTATATGAATAAAGAGATTTTTCTGACAGACATGTACAATTTTCATAAACCTAAAGTAAAAGAAAGAAGGTCATATGTGCCTGGGGCCACCCCCCTCGGTTTTTTCAGCTGTACCTAGTGGGCCTCAGTTCCCCTGTCCATTCACCTTCTCCCAGGGTGATGGGCGGCATGAAGAACTCTCTGAATCCCTGATTAAAAGACTCTGTCTTGCTAATGGGCTATTTTATAAACAGTTTACAGAAGTGATCATGCTTGTATTATGAATACTATGCTACGTGTATTGCTACTTATGTAGGACAAAAGTCATCTAGATATATAACTGAGTCCAGACTGAAGCCCAGGCTCTGCAGTCCTAGATTTTAAACGTGTGAAAATGGGAAAACGTTCCACAGGGTTACTGTGACGAGTAAATAAGTTGTACAGGAAAGAATTCTTGATGTAGATGCAATTATCACTGTAACTATGTTGGTAATTATTGTTAGAAACTTTGGTGAGGGGACCAGTACATTAATTACAATTAGCCTTCATATCTGATGTTCTGAATCTACAGTGAACCAATGGATTGACAATATCCTTCAGAGAGAGAGAGAGAGAGAGAGAGAGAGAGAGAGAATAGGGATTTAGCCTGCTGAACATGGCCAGGGTCATAGGTATACTTTCAGTATTGTTTCACATCAAAATTATTACATCCGTGCTGAATGTATACACACTGTTTTTCTTTACTAATTCTCTAAACAAACAATATAATAATTATATAGCATTTACATTGTGTTTGGTATTAAAAGCAACTGAAATTGTTTAAACTATACAGGCAGATGTGCACAGGTCCTATGCACATACTGTGTCATTCTGTCTGAGAGTCTTGAACATCTGTAGACCAAGTATTCACTAAGATCCTGTCAACAATCCCTAAAGAATGCCAAGGAAGGATTCTGCTATTCTGTATCTTCTAAGACTTCTAGAATCAAGACCATTTGCAATTGAATTAAGACATTAAAATCTCCATGTTAATGCTGAAGCTTTTCTTTCTGATCTGTGTATTTCCTCCTCTTTAGAGGATCTCTGCTCTATGTGTATTCTCTAAGTCAGTATTTGAGGACGTTCTGTAGAATCACACTTTTCCCCCACTCTATTGAGTGAAGTACACCCAAGGGAATACAATTGTTGTCAGTGTTGTTTTCCTCATGACCTTTCTGTGATCAGAAGACAGAAGACAATTGTGAAATCAATGTACTAATATCATGCTGTCTCTTCCTCTCTGCCTTAAAGTGATGTTAGTATGTGTTGTCTCACTTTTTGTGACCCTGCCAATTCTAGTATGTTTGCCGATGATGAGCTGGGTGGCCATGTCTGCATATTGGAACATAAACTGCTTTTTGACAAGATGGCAGCTTATATACAACAGCATAACTGGCCGTTATAAAGCTCATATTAGCTCATCAGAAGAAAGAGACAGAAAAATTCTTAGTGAAGGATTTCATTCTAGAATCCCTTTATTTCTTGAGGTTCCAAAGTTTCTTAAATATGAATCTGAACTGTAATTTGTCTGTGATCAGCTGCTGTGTATTTGAAAAGCAGCACTTGTAAATTTCAATAAATTTTTATGATACATAAACCCTAAAAGAATGAGTGGCAGATCTTAAAACGTAAGCATCTCTTTCACTAAGACACTGTCTGCCATGAGAGGCCACGTCTCACATCTCTGCTTTTGCATGCTTTTTGCTTAGCAACCTTTGTCTTGTTTTCTTCAAATATGAGCAATGAGAATGAATGTATATGCATATCTTCATAGCAGTTTGCTAAAATGCAGTAGAAATTGAAACATTTCCATATGTCAATTGAGAGGAATTACCATCCAAATATTCTAATGTCTGCCAAAATGGTTAATTTTCATTGCTATTTGGGCTTTGTAAAAGTGATAGACTTTGCCAGCATTGAAAACTGGTAATAGAAGTAAGTCAGTGCTTCTTGATAGATGACACTTCCATAGATATGTCTGAAGTCAAGGGTATTAGAACAATTGTCTACTGCAAATATTGCTTTGTGTTGCTGAGCTTGCTATGAAGATAGTTCTAGTGCCTAGCCAGTGCCTGCGGGAGTAAAACCAATTTCACCTCCTTCCACTCACCGCCACCCTCACCAAAGAATATGAGAATGGGTAAGCATTATCCTAGGGTTTGAGACATGAACATTTAAATAATTTTAAAACACTGGTCAGGTGATGCAGCAAGATACATGTTAACGATGGTGCTTGGATGAAGGTACTTGCAGCTCTGACTTGCATTCCCAAACCAACCTGGTATTTTATAGTACTGTTTGTCTCCCAGTAATGGGACGGTGTAGTGTTATCCATCTGTCTTCTGACTTAACTATCTGGGATTTTATTTCTCCAATTGTATTTGCTTTTAGCGTCAGTGAATGAAAACCATGAAATATACATGAAGGATTCTATGTCTGCTGCAGAGGTTGGTACTGGCCAGTACGCCACAACAAAGGGCATCTCTCAGACCAACTTGATCACCACTGTGACTCCAGAGAAAAAGGCTGAAGAAGAGCGTGACGAGGAAGAGGACAGACGGAGGAAGGCCGAGGAAGCCACGCCTGTTGCGGCCATCCGACACGAGGGAAAGGTACAGCTTCCAGGCCACCTCCTACAGCTGCTCCAGTTCTTCGGAGCAGCTCAGGAGTTCTGAGATTAGAAACCAGGCGTGCTAAGATGGAAGGGAATGCATATTCCAGCCCTGATCACGTTCGTGTCAGTTTTTAAATTATTATTCTTATTTCAACATTTTTCTTCTGAAAGTTGCTTTCTTAGCTTTGTGGAAAACTTTAACTAGGAATGTGCTATATAAGACTTTCAACAGCTGGCCTGTATGTTTCTCTTTAAAGATATTTTGGGTGGTGCAGTACATGATTCTGTTTGGATTCATATTTCACAACTGTCAGTAAAGCCATTTTCTGTTTCTGGCCCCAGTCTCCTACCCAAGTATGTTTTCCTACATATACAGGAAACATATCTCCATTTTTTTTAAACTACTTGTACACGAAGTGACCATAGCCTGTGCATTTATAACTAGTCTCTTAGTCTTCTAGTTATAATCCCGTGAGGAGAGGAGTGAGTGACCATGTCTCGAAAATGGATGTTAAAGCACTATTGTGCTTTGCAATGAAAGAGAAAATTGAATTTGACCTAACAGAAATTTCTCCCAAAATTTCATTCGTTGTATTTAATGACATCATTTCCCCCCAAATTAAATTTCTTAAGCATTATTTTTAAGCAACAGTTTGTTTTTGATAATCCAATACTATAACAACTTCTTAGCAAAATACTTTAAAAATCATCATACTTGGGAGGCTCATACATAATAACAATGGTCAATTAGAGGCCCCTGAAATGTACAAGGGATACAGAAAGAGGGGAGATGGAAAACAAAGAGTCTTAGAACCTCCGGGTTACCCTGGAACGCACACTTGACTTGCTAGTGCTCTTCTGCATTGTAGGCTCTTCACATACAAATGCTTGTGAGAAAACCACAGCACCTGGAACCCACAGGAAAATGTTTCTTCCCATAAGAATTTAGCAGGGAGCTCAGCAGATAATGCCTGGCTCTAAGGATGTGGCTGAGTGGGGAAGTGCTTGCCTAGCATGTGTGAGACTGAGTTTAGCATCCAGCATCTCAAAATCACTGAAATGAATCAGTACTTCCTGTAGAGTATAACCATTCCAGATTACCCTGTCCATCACCTTTCTAGTTTTGCTTTTAAGAACAAGATTCTTTGCTTTCCAAAGGGAAAAATCAACACAGAGACCGAAATGATGGCAGGGTATTTGGATCATTTCTGTTCACATGAGCTTTGTTCTAAATTTTGCTTTTCCTCTCTTCCCATTGTTCATGCCAAGGTCAGGTCTTAACTGGGCCACAAAAAGACAAGACATCTGACATGTGAATGGCTCTTCACTTAATGGCTTCAAAATTTCTTGAGCTCACTAGTGCTAACAAATGGTTCTCATAGATGTACAAATATAATTAAATGGCACATAAAAATAAAGGATTTTTAGTTTGCTCCCACAGTATGTCCAGGCTGTCTCCCTTTATTTTGTTTCAAAAGCCTTCTCTGTGGCTTTTACATGTATCAGCGTGTAGTACTCAGCTGTCTCACTTGTGCCATTAATGTCATGGGAAAATTAAAAGCCAAAGGAAACTACTACCTTTGTAATCCCGGTCTCCAGGAAGCCGGCCTTTAAGCAGGCGCCTTCAGAAAGACTGTAGCTGAGATCTGGTGCTTATGAGGTGCCAGCTGTCTTTATTTCCCCAGTGCAAAGCTGTCTTTTAAAAAGCACTTTAATAAGCAGCAAGGAAGATTAAACCATAATTTTATTCTTTTCCATCTTCAAAGAGTGACATAGAGGATACTTATTTTTGAACCAAAATAAAAATGTACTGCTAGAAATAGTTCTTAAAAGACTGGTCCCTAGGCTGCCTGGGGAGGAGGCACATTGTTGCAGCTAATGACCGTCCAGGTCCAGGGCAGCATCTCACTGCTCTGGGGGAGGTGCCACCGTGTGGAGGCAGCTTGGAACATCTACATTATTCTTAACGGAATGAGATTTGTGCAAGTTCCTGTTTAAAATGCAATGTCAAGTGTGAGTGTGCAGGAAAAGCCACACTTGTTTCACAGTCAAAAGAGACATTGCTAAGTCTGACATATCCAGGATAAACTTTCATTTGTGCATTGTGTCTCTCTTATGCCTCAGCTGTAATTTTATTTGTGCATTTTCTTTCCCTCTGTTGCTATATTTACCAAGTCTCTCAAGACAGGATTAGATAACTACCACCAAGGAGCCTGAGGAATTTCCATGCTCTCAGCTTGCTAAGTAACACATGTACACACACACACACACACACACACACACACACACACACACACACGACTCATTATCTTTAGGCTCCATGTGCCTTGGCCTTGACCTCATCATGGCCCCTTTGCCCCAGGCCTGCCTGGGATCTGCCTCCTTCCTCCCCCTTCTTGCCCAGCAGCTCCTCCTTCACCTGCAGAGGAGACTGACTTTGGCTATGGAGAGGAGACACCAGGGTTCTAGAGAGAGGAACCTGATTCCCCTGTCCACGGAAGCAGGAACTCTTAGGCCTCACTCAACTGTAGTGCACGCTTTGTCACTGTGTGAAGGTAATTTCAGTAATAAACATACCCTGTATCTGCTCAGTGAAAGCAGAAGGCTGAGAAATTGTATCTTTCCATTATTTATGGTCCATGAATAATAGAAACCAAACACATAGAAACTGTGCTACAAGAAAATACATTCTTCTTGCTGGCATGCCCAAACCATTCATAAGAGCTAAAGTTCCACTTAACATCCCAGATAAAAGAGCCAAAATAGAAGAATTTTCCAAGGAACCTCAATTCATTGTGTGGAGTCAGTGATACTGAAATGCTCATCCATCATTGAGTCCCCCTCCCCATCCCCAGTGGTAACTGCTTATCAGATAGGAGTGGGGCCAGAAACTTCAGGATTAGAAAGTCTACCTATTTCAGACATAATTAAGGAAAGGAAGGAGGGCTGTGAGAAAATATTTAAGATAATCAAAATTTGAATTGGATTTCATTTTCATTTTTGATCCAACTGAAGTATCAGGACTGACGTGTTACCTGAGATCAGGAGGTTATTGAAAGTCTTAATTTGGGCTTATTAGAGTTGCATTTGCTCTTCCAACCCTGAAGCTTTCTCAAGTTATCATTGAAATGAATTTTTTTATTGTGGGAAACAATTATATGCGGGAATTGGTCACAAATGATTTCTGTTCTGACCTTTGACATCACAGCTATATATGATGATATGGGAGAGCCGTAGCCCTCCACAGTGAGACTAAAACTCAAGACCAACCTTAGTGCTAAAATTCTTGTTTTATAATTTTATGTTGATACCCACAAGAAAGTTAACTAATCACAGTTTTCTTTTTGTCCTTTTGCACCCATGTTTACTGCTTCCTGTCTCTCTCTCTGTCTCTTTCCCATCAGTCACCTGGGCATGGCACTGACTCATGTCCCTTGTCACCCCCATCAGCCCATTTTGACCCTACATCCCCCACAGAGCTTCGTAGGAGATGTAAGGAGAATGAGCGCACATTTCCAGGTTCTGAGCTCTCCAAAGCCGAGTCTGCCTTGGAGTCTGATGGCCAGGGGAAGACTTACTTAGGGGACCAAGATGTGGCATTTAGTTATAGACAACAGACTGGCAAAGGAACCACGCTGTTTTCCTTCTCCTTGCAGCTCCCTGAGTCGTTCCCTTCCCTCCTAGATGATGATGGGTACCTCTCGTTCCCCAACCTGTCTGAAACCAACCTCCTGCCCCAGAGCTGGCAGCACTACCTCCCCATCCGCTCACCCTCCCTCGTGCCCTGCTTCCTCTTCATCTTCTTCTTCCTGCTCTCTGCCTCCTTCTCAGTACCATACGCCCTCACTCTCTCCTTCCCTCTGGCTCTGTGCCTCTGCTACCTGGAGCCCAAGGCAGCCTCCTTGAGCGCCTCCCTAGACAATGACCCGAGTGACAGTTCAGAGGAAGAGGTGTGTACCTCAGCATAGAACACACTTTCCCTGCGTGTTCTGTGCTTCAGTCCAAATCAGTGTTAGCTGGCTGCTGCGATAGTGGTCCTACTTTCAGAGCCTCATTTATTGTCTGTGCCACTATGTTAAGGGTTTGTGTGTTGGGGAGTCCAAGCTGGGCCCCAGGGTTAGGCACAACACCATGTGGACGTAGCAGTCTGCGGCCAGCTGTAATCATTCTGCTACCCACTGAGTTCTACACGAGCTCAGGACTCAACCAGAAGTCAATTTCAAAGAACTCGTGCAGTATGGAAAGGTCAGGGCTCAGTTACAGATTTTCTGTTCAGTTATCATCCAGTAAATTAAATCTTGTGTAATACAAATAAATAGCTTCCAACTTAAATAAGATTCAAGGAGAGATGGAGTGATTGTGCCAGAGGTTATGCATTTTCATGTTTAAATAGCTTTCTCAAATTGCCTATGTGTCTCCACCCAGGAAGAAATGAAATATTTTCTGGGTCCTATTTGATAGAGGTTGATAATGTTGCATCAGAAGAATTCCCAGAACAGTTTAAAGTATCCACGGATGTCAGGCATTGGTAAAGCCAGAAGCAGGACCAGAAAGAAACGTATGTAATGCAGTAGTGTCCAGAAAAAGTTAGGACAAGTTGTACCTGAGGTTTTTCCTCTATTATTCTAGCAATGCGATATACGTGTCAGACAGCAGCAGGAGCCCCAAATGCCCACATTTTGATAGTGTGGTAAAGCCAGGGAATTGACCAAGTATGTATGTAAAGGAAAAAAGTCCCTGAATTTTCAGCCTGCAGTCTCCTGTCCCCCATTCCAGTCACTAGGTGAGTCAGTGTAACCAGTAGCTTTTCCTCTTTAATTGCTCTCCTTCCCACTGCTCCGCAGCCCTATGAACAGCACAGCAGTCTCCCTTTCTGTGGACTTCAAACAGTGCAGGGAAAAAAATAGAAGCTGCCTCCAGAGGCACTGGCTGTCATGTCTTTACCCTACCCTCACCTCTCACTAGGCTCCCCCTAGTTTGCCTATTCCCACAGAGCAAGCACTTTTTGTGGCAGGAGATAAGCCAAACACTCCTAGCATTAGAAGAAACTGACAAAGTCAAGGAAACACTAAAAAAAAGCAGAGAAAGTCTGTTCAGTTCCATGCTTAGCTAGAAAGTCATAATTTGACCCATACCTGTGAGTCTATAGAGCTGCTAAAATGTGTAAGTGCATATATTTAGAGGCATTGTGACCATATCTGTTTGGCAAAAGGGAAGAATGTGAATGGTCTCACAGGTGCTTTAAATGAAAGTCTAGACTTTTCAATGCAGTATTGCATAAGAGTCCTTCTCAGCGTTCTTGATACGTGTACATATGTAGATAACTATTTCTGTCAGAGAAATATTTTAGGAACTACGTTAAATCATAGGCTTTAACATAACCATGTCTCACAGTGGTAGAATTATCAAATAGTAAAGGACTAGAGCATGCTATAGTTGGGAATAGAGTTATCTACATAGACCACGATGGGTTTCTAATTTAGAAATATATTTTCCTTAGCAGAGGAATAAAGCCTCATGCTCACATAACACCAAAAAAAATTACTGGTTTGTGCTTTTCTAAATTCGGGATAACTGCTTGAACTTTTCTACAGCTAACCACACAGATCTTGTGCCTAATCCAGGGTATACATCTTGTTGTAATCAGTGCATGGGAATCAATGTTCAACTTGGGCATGTCTGCATTACATCAGCAAAACAAATCACAGCAGTCCCTGTCTGAAGCTAGTGGGTGTGGAATTGGAGCTTTCCAGTCCTCCCTGTCCTGGTTATTGCAGACTCTGAAACTGTGAATTAGCGCTGATCACTGCAGTCTTCGCGGTCCTCACCAGCCTCCCTTACCCCTTACAGCTCTCCTGCAGCCAGGCTTGCAACTTGGCCATCTGTTCAATGTTGACTCTTAACTCCAGGTATTAAGAGCTGCACGTTGTAGTTCAACTTGAGCCATAGTTGAGCCTAACTATGTTGAGCCTAAGTCATAGTTAGGTCATTGTGTTTTTTAAAGATGCCGTTTGCTTACATGGCTCGTTTTATTCTCTAGGCCTCAAGCATTTTGGCAGCTAAACTGGGTGACCCCTTAACATACAGCTCATCTCTGTCACTTTCATTTTGCAAAATCACTAATGACAGTTTTTTACATTGTTCTTGTGTTGTAGTGAGTCAGTCCGTTCCAGCTTTTCTTTTGAGTAAACCACAGTAGAGAAACAATCATTTCAAACTATGATGCAGTTGGCCAATCACTATTCTTTTATGTTTTCAGAATGCTCAAATAAGAAGAGGCAGAATATCAAATCATCTTTCAAGAAGCATAAGATGAATTTAGCTCCCTATAACATAAACTACTTGTAAATTTCTGAGTAATTTTTGAAACACAAAGAAAAGGTAGACAACTGAAATCTGGCAAAAAATTAATTGACTGATTTCTAACTTTTTTAAGTTGTGTAAAGGTAGTATTATATAATAGCTCATGACTTGTTATACTTCTGTTTTGTGTCATCATAGGTACACAGCATATAGTATTAACAATGTGTAGTATAAATAACAGTTGCTATAAAACATGCTTTATTCAGTTCTTGCAACTTCTATTGATGGATTACACTGTAAAGTAGGACTTTCAGGGAGTCCACAGATGTTTTTCTTAATATAGGATCTGACCATGTTGACTACATTGACTGCTCTAGCTTGAGATTAGGATCCTCCTGTCTCCACCTCTCAAATAACTGGATATACAGGCACATCCCCTGTACACAGCTTTTCAGGAAGTTTATATATGGCCAACAGTATGTGATGGCATAAACCAAGGAAAACTGTTAACATGTCACCAGTAATATCATATTTCAATTATCATAAAAAGCTATAACTCTGTGTGTTGTGAGTGCTACAAAGCATTTGCCCCTCACTCAGTATGGTTAGGTAGGCCTGTTATTTTCTCTATTTTCCAAGAAGGGACTCTATTAAATTATGAGATATGTCCAATGTATCACAGGTTTGAACAGCAAGGATTTGAATACATGTCAGTCTGACATCAGATACCCTACTCTTGCTAAGATGTTGGAAAGTTCATGAAGTAAATTTTAAAACCATGTAGGAAGAGAAGTGCCTCAGGAACTTCAGATGTGTTTTATATAGCTGATTAGGTTACTAAACACAAGTCATTCTTATTTTCTTAAAGGCCTAGAAAGTCTTTGAGAGTTGTGTATTTCATACTGGCTTTCCTCAGTTTTGAGGCCTTGTGACTAACATAACCATGTCTCACTCTTAGAAGAAAATTAATAGACACCTCCTGCTCTACTTTTTAACTGAGGTGATTAGGTTGTGAAAAATGTACTGAGAAATTTTCTCCACTTGCCTTGGGAACAAGGTTGCTAGAATTCCATTCTCAGGCACACCTGCCAAGCAGAAAATTCAACTCCTTTCATGTTAGAAATATGTAAAACAAAATTTTGAAATAGTGCCAAGAAAGTGGCCTGGCCTAAGGTACATCAGTAGAGACAGACAGTCTTGGGTGCCATTTCTAGACATTCCATGTGCTTTAGTGTTGGACCTAGATTCACAAGTATAGAGCCTCCAGCTTGGGTTTTTGTTTTCAAATTATTACAAGTCTTTGATTAAGGGAAATTTATGAAAAATTAGTTGAAATTTGTGGAGGAAAAATCAGTTCAAATTTGGGTATTTAGATGGATGTCCTGCTTTCAATATCCATGACTCTACTCAAGAGAAAATAATTTTTACTTTCAATCATAAACCCCTTTGAGGGGGCTGGAGAGATGGCTCAGCAGTTAAGATCACTGACTGCTCTTGCAGAGAACCTGGGTTTGATTCCCAGCACCCACCCACATGGCAGCTAACTACGGTCCCTAACTCTAGTTCCAGGGAATCCAGTGTCCCCCTCTGACCTCCACAGGCATTGCACCGGCAGGGTTCACTTGCATACATGAAGGCAGTATACATAAGATAAAAATAATAAATAAAATATATTTTTTAAAAAGCCCCTTTGAAACAGATTAAAAAGTGAGTTCTGAAATTGCAACCCTAGTCTCCCCCTAAAATCCTAGGCTCTGCCAAATGCTGTGCTTTGTTTTATTTGTCTCCAAATAGATGTCTCTCTCTTTCTCTCTACTTTTTCAATTACTATTACTATTATTTGCATCATTTGAATGGTATTTTTGCAATGAGATGTTTAAACGCATACTTTAATACACCTTTATTTTGGAGGGTGGGGCAAAGTAAACAACATGGCTGTTACCACTTGGCAGTGCTATCTGAAAACTCAGTTGTTTTTCCTGTATAAAACACGTACCTATGAATCACCAGTGTGAGCGCTAATCATTAACAGGTAATGCAGACAGCCTAGTGGTCAGAGAGGGTGAAAATAATCAAAATATAAATGAGGGGCTGAAAGTCCAGTGACTGGTAAAGTAGCTTTAAACATAAACTTAAATTTTCATTTACTTTTCTCGTGCCATTATTAGAAGGAAAAAAAACTATATAAACCTCCATTTAGTTTGTATTGAGCATTTTTAGGAGAGCTTTTGGGGGCATCAGTGGAACGCCTAGGAGGAAAGTGACAAATTGATATTCTGACCCATAAAAGCAGATAGGTCAGTGTGGCCCGTTGGATGTGTGCCTTGGGTCTTGACCTTGGAGGGGCTTTGCTGAACGCCCCTAGCTCTGCCTCTTCTTTGCTTGGCTTAAACTTATACTACCGTGGGAGGGTAGGATGCCACAGACCCCAGAGGAAGAAAGTGTTCACCTGTGTGTGCCCTATTTGACCAGATGGGTTTGTTTTCTGTCCCTGCTTCCTCCTGGGACCCTCATCATTTCTGTGGTCCACAGACTGACAGTGAACGGACAGACACAGCGGCTGATGGGGAAACCACCGCCACTGAGGTGAGTGTAAAGACTGAGAGTAGCTGGTAGCTACCTGGTAAAAATGCCTGCAGAGTGACTCTGAGTGCAATATTTCTGCGTGTCTGCTTTTGGAGAGGAGAGGAATGCTGCCATTCACAGTAGAAGCTAAATAAGTTTTGGTTTTGTTGGTTATTTTGCTAGGCCAGTGGTTTTCAAACTCTGGCTTGTGACAGAATTATCTGATGGGTCTCAGCCTCATGTTCCTCATTCTGAGGGGCATACGCAGGACTTGAGAATTTATAGTTCCACCCAGTTCCTAGGTAATATGGAGTCTGTTAATCTTAGGTCACCTTTTAAGAAGCAGTTACTGGGTGTGGTGGTACACACCTTTAATCCCAGCACTCAGCAGGTAGATTCTGCAGGTGGATCTCTATGAGATCAAGGCCAGTCTGATCTATATAGTGACTTCTAGGCCAGCTGAGGCTACAGGGAGACCTGTCTCAAAAAAAAAACAAAAACAAAAAACAGTTGCCTGATACCATTAAGTCTAAAAATGAAATGAAATATATTCCCTTCCCTTCGAGTCACCAGCACAATAGCAACAAAGGGGGATATGCAGAGAAGACACCTTGGTCCCATTGGCTGATAAGAAAGCTGACTCTAGCCAGATTTGGTGGCACAGGTCTCTAATGCCAACGCTTGGGAAGATGAGGCAAATGGATTGCAAATAGATGACTGGCTTGAGCTAAATAGCAAGACCCTGTCTCAAAACAAAAACAAAACAGACAGTAAGGACAGCATGCCAGGCCCCAACTGCCCCTTTTTCTAAGCACATGCATCTGCTTTTCAAAATACCAGAAAACCACTGAACAAGGAATCCATTCCTCTACTGTTCTTATGAAGCTTCATAATTTGTGTGTGATTTCTTCTTTGCATGTAAGAAAGCATTGCACCTATATGTAAGAGCGCAGTAGTGCCCACAACTAACAAGTTTATATAGACCTTAGTTTTTCAACCTTAGAGTAAATTACTTGGTAAGTCTTTATCTCCCACTCTTTTTGATGCTGGCAGTCGGACCAGGAGGAAGATGCAGAGCTCAAGGCACAGGTAGAAAATCAAAGATATAACAAAAACCCCAGACCAGTGTGTGATGTCGTTGTTTGTCTCCAGCATTCAGATCTTTCAGCATGCTCCCTATGGGTTCCCATGTTGATGGTGCAGTGTGTAGAATGGCATTTGTTCCCTTGACTATGTCCCTTACCTTTCCCTTTCTTCTCCACTTTTTTCAGAATAGTCTGATTAAGCGAATAAAGGGTGAAAATGTGTATGTCAAACATAGTAATCTTATGTTAGAGGTTGGTATTGGTATATGCCAGTGCATGCTTGTGTGTGTTTTCCTTTTGTGGTATACCTGTGGATTGGAACCATGATGCATGAACTGTGTGCTCACTTGTGACTGCAGATGACTTCTCGGCTTCCTCTGATTCCTTATTCTCTCCTAGACGTAGATCCCTTTTCCTCTGTGTGTCTTTATTTCAGTCTCTCTGGCAACATGTCAACTACACTTCTTATAGTTTACTTTTGATTTTATTTTATTTTTTTGTTTGTATGCTTGTGTGAAATGAAATTATTTTTCTTTCTCCCTTCCTGGAAACATCACATTTTTACCAGAGTGTTTAGTTTGTGGCAGTGTCTTGAATCCTGATCAAAATTCAGTTTCCTTTCACTACTAATGTCTTTTATATTACTCTTAAAAAGAGAGAGATGAATGGAAAAGAATTTTAAGGGTTTGACTGTTGGACTCTTTTTGTTCTGAATATAGGAGCTAGATAAAACTCAAGATGAACTGATGAAGCATCAAACCAACATCAGTGAGTTGAAAAGAACCTTCTTAGAGACCTCTACAGAAACTGCCATAACAAATGAATGGGAAAAGAGACTTTCTACTTCTCCAGTGCGACTGGCTGCCAGGCAGGAGGATGCACCCATGATTGAGCCACTGGAACCTGAAGAGGTCAGTATTCAAGTTGCAGGGAGACTTGTCTTCTACTCAGTGGCATCTCTACAGGGTCTGGAACTGGGAAGGAAATGGTGAGCATCCAGTGGAGAAGCTCACCCCTTGTGTGTGAATTACCCAGAATGAGATACTCAGTGCTCCCAAGAAAGGCTGCCAAGTAAGAGGAGTGGGTGTCCAAGGAGAGAGTCTCAGAATCCGGCAGTACTGAGAATGACCAGACAACCACAGGGAGACTGTTTTGCAAACTGGCTGATTCTGGTCCTTACTATAGATTTTACATCTTGGAGAAGCTAATCTGCTCTCTTAGTTAAAATCAACACTTTTCATATGCTTTCTACTTCTACATTGAGAAATGCCCCGAAAACTCATTTATGTTTCTTGTTAATTGGAAAATGAGGCATGTTGAGATTGTGTGCTGTTTGGATGGTGATAGAAGTTGATAGCATTTCAGAATACATTTGACTCTGATATACCACACAGGCTTTTCTTTAAATTAATGCTCTTGATTTTTATTTATAACTGGTTATTTTAACTAACTTAAAATATCAGTGTTTGATTTTTTTTTAAATCTAGAACGCAAGTTGCAGAAATTTCTTTTTAAATAACACTTTAACATATAGGAAAACTGTTTTTAAATATATTTTATTTATTATTTGTATTTTATGTGTATGAGTGTATTGCCTGCATGTATGTGTAATGCCACAGAGGTTAGAAGAGGGCATCGGATTCCCCTGGAACTGGAGTTAAGGATGGTCTGTAGCCACCATGTTGGTGCTGGGAATTGAACCTGGGTCCTCTGCAAGAACAGTCAGTGCTAAGCCATCTCTCCAGTCCAGGAAAACTGTTTCAAAATGAGGGAGGATCCAGCTGTTACTCCAGGGCTCCCACTGTGGGGGACCCATGAGTTACTGTGGTGCTCATTTGATCGTCCAGTAGATGCTATGCTTTCTCTCGCTGAAAAAAAATCATTTTTGGAAACTGCATCTTTTGAGAATTGTACTGATTAACCTTCTTATCAACATCCTTTTATTGAGATATTTTGCCCAGGAAGCTGTGACAGAATATGAAATTAAAACTCAGACTGTGATGGGAAAGAAAGCCTCTAAACATATATATAGAAAGAGGAGATATAGGTAGATGATTGATAGTAGATAGATAGATGATAGATGATAGATAGATAGATAGATAGATAGATAGATAGATAGATAGATGATAGGTAGATAGATGGATGGATAGATAGATAGATAGATAGACAGACAGACAGACAGATAGACAGATAGATGTGCAATGCTGAAGTCTTTGCAGAGAAAATCAAAATCAAATTATACCCATTGTTGATCTTTTTCTAAGCCTCCTTTGAAAGCTGTTTATCAAAAGTGGTCAGAATCTCATCATTATATTCATGACAATTCCAGTCCCAGCTGAAAACGCAAGGGGTAGATATCCATTTAAGTTACTTTGAAAAAGTTATTTTTAGGCAGAATAAATAAAAAGCATCGTTACCAAAGTATTCCCGTAACATTGAACACCAGTTCGGTTCAAATTGCTTAAGTTTCAAGAGACAAAAATTTCACATGCAGTTTAAGCATCTAGTACTTATATTATTAAGAATATCACTTATGGACTAAGGAGATGGCTCTGTGGATAAAGCACTTGCTGTGCAAACATAAGGACAGAAGTTTGATTCCCCAGAACTCACCTACAAACTGGATGTGGTAGTCTGCATCTGTAATCTCAGCATGCCTATGGTGAAATGAGAGGCTATGACAAGGGAATCCCAGGATATGCAGCAATGAACAGGAGACTGTCTCAAATAGGGTGGAAGATAAGGACCAACACCCAAGGTTGTACTCTGACCTGCATACACATGCTGTGACACATGGATACACACAAACACACACATACATACTTTCTCAAAAGAAGAATATCAGTTACCTATTATGCGCTCATAAATTTTATTGTAAATGTTCAAATATGGATCACATTTTTGTTTTCTCTTTTAGAAACAATGTGCTGGGTTGAAAGATGTTAGATACTAGATTAAATCACAAACACACAAAATAAATAGCCACCAAAGCAAAACAAAGAAAAAGAACCAAATATCTGTTTACATGCTGACACTGAAGAAATTGACAGGCATAGCCTTTTTGAGTGAAAATTCCGGTAATAAAATGTTAATAAACATGGAGACTTTTAAAAGTCAAAACCGTTAGATTAGCAAAATACTTTTATAGTCCTGAGTAAATACTGAATCTTACATGATGATGTTGAATGAACATTAGTAATTTAAGGAGGTGATGTTTTGGCTAATACTGAACTTTCCCTGGATAGTCTTGCCTTTTCTATAGTAGTACAAACAACAGATAAAGCCAAGAAAGGCAATTTGCCCCACAATCAATGAATAGAAACTCTGTAGAGGAGCATGTCCTGTGGGTACAGATGGGAGCAGTCCAAAGTTGGTTGAGGGCTGCTCTCATCTCCACTGCATTATGTGAGAACTCAGCGCTCCATCATTATTGTGGACTGATGAAATCACAGAGGGTAATTAGTTGGCTAGACTTGAGGACGATGAATCCTGGATACCCAAGGAACTCTAGAAAAGCAGCAGCAAGGTCCTTCAGGTCTTAGAAGAAGAGAGCTGTTTTCACACGGCTAGAGCACTGTTCTACCTGGCAGCAGGGTCAAGCAGGGCAGCCACTGCTCTCCTGTTTCCTCTCCAGGATCAGTCATCAGTGACATCCCAGTGTATAGTCCTAGGAGCCTATAGATAGCCCTAAGAATGAGCCAGAAAGCTCTTATCTTCTAAAACACCCCCAGTTTCTGTATTAAAACCTCGCTTCACTTACTGGTTTATGAAAAGCATAATCATTTTAGCCTTTAGACATATAGAAAGCGTATTGATCTATAGAGTCATAGCCAAAAAGTTTTATTTTAGAGGGGAGCCATTTTTCAAAGGACATCAATAACTTAGTATCACCCAGTTATTTAGTATTACATACTTTAATTAGTCAGTGTAGAAAGAAGCCCAATTATTTCTAAATGGAAATATTTAGTTTAACTTAATTTTTTAAATGGTGTCTCAAATAAAACCATTTGAGTAAGAATCGGGAAGAAATTTAGATTCAGTGACCTCAAATTTATGACCCAAACCTTAGTTGGTTTGAGGATTTTTTGTTTGGTTTGGTTTGGTTTTGGTGAATTTCAGTGATAAAAGGGTATTTAAAAGAGAAAACTAATGAATTCTGACTTTTAATGTGACTATCTTTAGTAGTAGAATTCTAAGTAATTACTATTTCTGTAAAAATTTTATCCTTTATGAACAATTAGAAAAATATTAGAGTTAGAAATGTATAGAGTGAGCTAGTGATGGTGACTGTATTCTGAAGTGGGAATTGGATTATCAGTGGTTTGAAGATTCAAATACCTGAGTTAATAATAGAGAAATAGCAAGAGTACCTCCAAATGCAGTGACTCAATCAAGTCTCATTAACTTCAGAAAACAGGGAAGTTCATACACAAGGACCCCAAATACGGGAAGGAGGGACTGTGTTCTAGCTACAGCTCTGTCCACAAACATTTCCCACAGTGGCCTCGTATGATGTACACAGGCCTAGCCCATTTTAGAGTTGTGTTGTTTAGTGGTTATTGAATATCAAAGATTTCCAAATCTTAATTTTAAAAAGCGGTCATTAATACCTATGCAGTACAAATATTGTCTTCTTTTTCATGTTAGTGGTAGATTTACATGTATGCTCACTGTACAATATAGCAAGCATAAATATAATACAGTGAATATTAGGAAATATAGCTCCTTGAGATAGACACTGAATATAGTTGGTTCCCATTATTTATAGATTCTGTATTTTCAAATTCATCTTCTCCCTGACATTTATTTATAGCAACTCTTAATATTCTAAGAGTGAATGAGTTTTATGAATTGTGTATCCCAGTAGGACTTCATATTCCAAGTATATGACAGAGATTAATATGTAATAACTAAATTAACTGGTTAGTACAAACACCTAATTATATTCTAAGCCCTACGAAAGATTACCGGCTTCTGTTTGTCAGTTTCCTCTCACTGTGTTAGTAGAGGAATAGGGTTGGGAGGCGAACCACGTGTAGAGTTTAATTCTAAGACCTCTCCCTTCTTGTTAGTTGTCTCTGTTATTGGCATAGCTTCCCATGTTGATGTTTCCAACAAAAAGCACAGAGACTTTAAAAATCAGTCCATTCCAGAAAACCACTGTTCAGCTGCTGAACTTCTTTCTCCACTTTTGTTTTTGGAATAATATTTAGCTCAGTGATTATAATTAGAGGCCCAACAGCATTATTCTGGAAAAATACCTATAATTTTGAATTTCCTATTCTCACTTCTGTTTGAAAAAGAGGTCATGACTGAAAGTGTTTTTTAATCTTCATTTAACAATTGCACATGGCACATTTTATCTTTTCTAATATTTTCCTCCAGCGTTGAGAATGGGTTACTTACTTTTCATTAGAAAGGGTCATCTGAGAACTGTGCTGTCATAATTTGTTAGGCGGTCCCGCAGAAGAATGTTGTAGATGTTCCCCTACCACCGCTTATTGGCAAGAGATTCAAGTTGCTACTTACTAATAGATTAGTAGACAAGTAGACAAACTTTGAAGAGTTTCCTAAAATTATATTGTTTACAGTGATAAGATTTGTTTTAGATAAATTTTTCAAAATATCCTGTCTCTACTCTATGGAGTTGTACACACAGTATAGCTACAGGATGGTCACTCAAATTAGGTCTATTTGGTGCTAAAGAAAAGAACTAAAGAATAGTTTAAAGCTAGAAAGCTGCTTCTTGACATGAAAGGATAAAATAGTTCTTAATTCTATACATTAATCTATAATTTAGTCCAAAATTTTCACACAGGTAGTTTGAAATTAAGCGTTAAAAATTACTCACCACAGTATGAAAGTGCAAATAAAGCTAGACTTTTTTATTTACTGGGAAGACAGCAAAGAAATCTGTCTAAGTATGACTGGGTGTATCAAATAAATGGTGGTCCTGATTTCTTTCCATTGCTCTGATAAAGCACTCTGACCAAAAGCAGCCTGTGAGAAGAAAGGGTCTATTTGACTTACAGTTCCAGGGTCACAGTCCATCATTGGGGGAAATCAGGGCAGGAACTCAAGCAGGCACTTGAAACAGAAACCATGGTGGAAAGCTGCTTCTTGGCTCACTCTCAGGCTCTTAGCTAGCTTTGATTTTTTAAAAATATTTAGCAATTCTTTGAGAATTTCATATCATGTATTTTAATCCCTATTGCCAGAATGCTTCCCTTTAACTTCTCCCAGATCTAACCATACCTCCCAACCTCTTCCAACTTTGAGTCATCTTTTTTGTTTAGTAGCCAAGGATTCCAATTGGTGTCATCCATATATTTCTGGGTATGGGACCATCCACTTGAGCATGCAACCATGGAGCCACACCATTAAAGGAAACTTGACTCTCCCTCCCCTAGACTCCATCAACTGTCCAATTAGCTTTCTTATACAGCCCAGAACCACCTGCCCAGAGAATAGCGTCATGCACAGGGGGCTGAACCCTCCTACATCAATTAATAGTCAAGACAGTCTCTCACAGACATACCCACAATCCAATCTGATTTAGGAAATTCCTCAATTGAGGTTTTCCTTCTCAGATGACTCTTGACTGTGTCAAGTTGACAGTTAAAGCTAACTAGGACTAATCGCTAATAGTACCGACTATGTAAGCCTTTCCCTCCATAACAGACAGTACATGAGTGAGAATATGATTGTAAACTTGTCAGCAATAGAAATGAGAGTTTCTTCCTAATTTCTTTAAAAATTTTTCTTCACATTTAGCGCTCACTTTTAGGACCTGTGACAGAAAGCTGTTGAAACATCAAGAAATCCTTTACATCACTTTTACATGTTCTATGTTTATGGAAATAAAAAATTTTTGAGTTGTATAAGCATCTATTTCAGAAAATAATCTGTTACTTTTGGGTAATGATTGTTAAATTTTGAAATGGTTTCAGGCCATTTTTCAAATTAATAATTATTCTAGGAAATTATGAACAAATATGAATACATACTGTACAGTACTCTCTTCCTAACTCACCTTTTTTGGAAAATGTCTACTTCCTCTTCTCCACCCAACCTCCTTTATTCAAACAGACCAAAGAAGACAGAGTGATTTCTGAAAAAGTTTTATTTTTGCAACAAGGAAGTTCACCATTCCTTGAGTCTCAGGTAAAAAAAAAAAAAAAAAAAGCATTTTCATAAAGGAATTGTCTTCGGTGTCCAGTTATCATTAAAGTATATACTTTTTATTAATTTATCTTGTTTGAATCAAAGGTAGGTATATTACTTTCCTTAGGATCTGGGAGAGGGAAAGAGAATTTTCTCAATATTTTAGTTATTCCTTTTGTTTTATTTTTTAATGACCTCTATATGATACAAAATATCATTGACGCTTATAATTAGACTTCTAATAATCTGAAACTGTTCAGTGCCTGCTTTCGTCTATACAGTGGTACTATTTTAAATGACCTTGACTGTTTGTGAAAGTTCTGACTTCTATTGATCTTCTCACTAGCCAAATGTGATTAAGGAAAAACAGGAAGGAGTCTCTGCTGATTCTGTGGCAACTTCTCGTCAAATAATTTTCCAGAAAACTGTTCCATCGACCCTAGAGGTTATTTTTTTTCAATTCATTTCATTTAATCCAATGCCAGCAGGTAGATCAATTTGTAGTTGTTTTAGTTTAATGTACATTTATATCTAGATTCAAGTTCTCAGGCTAAATAAATATAAAAGATTATTCTAGTTTAAGATATAAACCCAAATGCTCATTTGCTCCAGCTGATTTCTGCCCCTTCTGTAACCTGGAAGGCTGGTCACTGTTAGTCCATGTCATCCTGTTGAGTCTCACTGAAAGCAGAAGTTTCTTAAATTTTCAAATTCTGCCTTCTTGGAACTAATGCTAAAGAAAATGGGAGAGAAATTGCTGAGACAGAAATATATATATAAAAGGCTCCAATCAATAGTGTCTCATCAGGGGAAATATTTCATTACAGTGCCTTTAATACAGGCACACTCAGTATTTATCAGACAATAAATACAGTCATGAATTGACTTCCTTAGGTAAGGAAGTACAGTTTACAGACATGGAAAACGGTATTTGGAGAGCACTGGCAAATTCTTGAGTAACAGTATATGAAGTAGAGTGTTAAAACAAAGATTAAAATGGTCCTCTTGTGTCTACATATGTAAAGCTGAATAACTTCAGTTATGCCATCTAATTTTAAAATATAAAATAATCAGGGGGCTGGAGAGATGGCTCAGCGGTTAAGAGCACTGACTGCTCTTGCAGAGGACCCGGGTTCGATTCCAGCACCCACTTGGAGGCTCTGAACCATCCTTAACTCCAGTTCCAGGGAAATCTGACGCCCTCTTCTGACCTCCATGGCATTGCATGACATGGGCGCACTCACATACATGCAGGCAATACACTCATACACATTAAATATATATATACTTCATATACTGTTACTCTCACAAAGAATTTGCCAGTGCTCTCCAAATACCATTTTCCATATATATGATAATCAGATGCTTACCATAAGATCAAATAGGCTTCTTACAAAATGTATTGCTAAAGTGTGTTCCTTTTTGAAAGAAATCTGAGATTGCAACCCTACCCTGCAGTATTCTAAGTTGAAGTTAGTCATTTCAAACTAGAGGAGAGTAGGCCGATAGTTATTAGCTAGCAGCAGCCCTATGCAGTCAGACCTACCCCAGACCTTGCTCTGGTTTTTCTTAAAGGATTCTTTGCAAACAAGATACTATCAGTTTTTCTAATTTAGCCTTTATATTTCAAATATAGGGCACAGAGGATTGGGTTATTGTAGACAAAATACCCACTGAGGTAGTTGATGGTGATTCGAAAAAGATTGTGACTTACAAGGTGGTAACGGTGAGCAGTAGAACTGGTGACATCCCAGCCGACATGCTAAAGTCTAGCATTACTGAAATGCATAGCTTCCATGACTTGGCCCAAGAAATGCAACTGAAGGAAGAGAACAAACAGAAGATATACACTCTAGGAAAATCCTATGACACCGTCTCTGGGAGAATCGTTACTATGACTGGAAAAGTTAAGGAGGGGGAGAAAGTAGCACAGCCTTCCATGCTGGAAGCTCTGCAGAAGATGGAGAGAAGCCGGGCAGAAGCAGGGAAGGTTGGTCCCCTCTTGGCAGAATATGAGGTTCTGGAAGCCCTGGCTGATGAGAAATCCAGGAGAGGACCCGAGATCCAGGCCCCGAAGCGGAGGTTGTCAGAATCCCTGGCTCCCATCAAGGAAGCTGAGTCTCGTCGGCAGAGCCCCGAAGAAGATGACCTCCAGAAGGCGCCAAAGCTGGGGCAGGATGTGTCTGCCCACCCTGGCCCAGAGAGCATGCGATTCAGCAAAAGCGAACAAATGCCAGAGAGTGAGGTCTTAAAGGTGGGGCTGTTTGGTCCCCGGAGGAAGAGTCTGTCTGAATGGCGGTACACCCAGGAACCGGCCTTTACTGTAGCAACTGCTCATTACATCACTGAGTCCTCAACATCTCAAGTGGTGGTAACCAGTGGCTCTCATTCAGTCACAGTTTCAGATTCCAGCATGACATTGTTTTAAACAGCGCCCTTCCACCCTCCGCCTTTTCCCGTTTCTCTTGCTGCTTGGCTTTACGTTGAGAGCAGCAGACCCAGCTTTTTAAAATTTTTTTTCATGATTAAATCAATATTGCAGTCCAAAGCCAGCATTGAAACACTTTTCTGTTTTATTTCCAGCTGCCCTTTCCCAAGATGTGATAACGCTGCTGTGGCCTGCAATGACAGGAAAAAAAAAAATGATCTGCTTAAACCAGCGCCACCCTGACCCTAACAACTCTCTCTGCTTTAGCATACAAGAGCTCATGGTCACCCCAGTTTGCTCTTTTTTTTTCCCATTCTTTTCTGTTTCCAAGCTCTGTAGTGGATTCCTCCATTCCGCCTTCCTTTTTCCTCTGCCTCCAGTTTTGTCTAGCCAGCTGTGAATGTGTGCCTGTCTGGATGTGTCTCTTTCTCTTGTCTTGACTGTTATTTCTTTGTTTACTCAGACTAAGCAATCTTCTGGGGAAAAGCTCATGGATGGCTCCGAGATCCTCAGTTTATTAGAGTCTGCACGAAAGCCAACAGAATTCATAGGAGGGGTTTCGTCCACTTCCCAAAGCTGGGTGCAGGTGGCCATTTGTGCTCATCCTTGCTGTTTCTGAATGTGCCCATTTGCCTTGCTTTATGTGTTTGTGGCAGGCATGTGCGTGTGTGTGCGCACGCGCACACCCACACCAACATCTTGAGGTGACTTCTGGGACTGTCCCCTGTGCCCACCACATGTGTCTGTCATGTGTCTTTCATTCCAGTTCAAGAACATGCTTCTCATATTCAAAAGGCAATCATACTGAGAAATTTTAGCAGCATTTACTGTCTGGAAGCATTTGTCTCATCTGTTGGACTAAGAAAGCATTGAAACCAATGTGAATGCACTCCAATGCTTTTGTTCAGTTTGTTCCTTTTGAATATTTTACTGGGTTCTGTTTCTTTTGTCTGTGCCCTGAGGTGGTAGGTAGGTTCCCATGTGTGTGTCTGTGTATCAGATGGGCACACCTCAAAGCTGGTGGGAGGAATGAAAGCTAATTTTTATTTCCTGTCACTGTGCATATAAGCTCTTGCTGCTGGCTTTGGACACCCTAGTGAGTGGCAGCTTTAGGGGTTTTGTTGCTTTTTTTTTAACTTGTGCTTTATGGAATGTCACTCTGACATCGTAATCTTTCCCCATACAGAAAGTGGAAACGAAGACAGAGTCCAGTGAAACAGAGACAGAAACGACCCCTCACCACCAGCCCCTCAGCACTGAGAAGGTGGTGCAGGAAACTTTGTTGGTGGAAGAGAGGCGCGTGATGAACGTGCATGCCAGTGGAGATGCTTCTCACACAGCAGGGGATGACATGGATGCTGCAGCACAGTCCACAGCACCAGCAGGCGCTTCCAGTATGAAAGGGAAGGAGGACTCTTCTCTGACGGAAGCAGTTAAGGAGGAAAGAGGGGAGGAGGCTGCGAAGTCTGTCCCTGAGCAGGAAGGGACAGCCACGGCCTCCCACAAGGAGGAGCAGGCGGCAGGTATACCAGCTTCTGAGGCTTTGGAACAAAAGTCTCATTTTGAGGTAACTAGTAATTAATATTAACATGGTATGAAGCCCTGAAATTTAGATCAGTGTAAAGATGGAGCTATATATAATTATACCTTTTCCATGAATGCAGTTTGGTTTTCCTCTTATTTTTTAAGGGTCACCATGTTTGTTTCCACATTTGGAATCATATACAAACATATACTGATCATTAATAATGTAAAGTTCCAAGAGTTGGTTTCTGTCATTGAGATTTTGACTGACAGAAAACATGAGAAACCCATGATTAGCCAAGATATTAGAAAACATGAGGGCAGCTGGGCATGGTGGCGCACACCTTTAATCCCAGCACTCGGGAAGCAGAGGCAGGTGGATCTCTGTGTTCAAGGCCAGCCTGGTCTACATAGTGAGTTCCAGATCAGCTGGGACTACAGGGAGACCCTGTCTCAAAAAGAGAGAGAAAAAAAAAAAGAAAATATGAGGGCAGGTGAGATGACTCAGTGGGTAAATGTGCTTGCTGCATAAGCCTGATGGCCTGAGTTCAAGCCCTGAAACTCACAGTGGAAGGAGAGAACCAACTCCTGAAAGCTGTCCTCTGGCCTCCACACTCACACATTCTCTCTCTCTCTCTCTCTTTATCTTCTCTCTCTCCCTTTCTCTTCTCTCTCTCTCCTTTCTCTCCTATCTCATCTCTATCTCTGTTTCTCTGTCTCTCTTGAAAGAAGAAAGGAAGGAAGGAAGGAAGGAAGGAGAAAGAAAGAAAGAAAGAAAGAAAGAAAGAAAGAAAGAAAGAAAGAAAGAAAGAAAGAAAGAGAAAGAGTCTCTCTCTCTCTCTCTCTCTCTCTCTCTCTCTCTCTCTCTCTCATACTAATTAAAGAAAAGCTGAGATTTATTTGTAATCCTCGTACTTATCTGGAAGGACCAAAAAACATGCTCTTCCAAGTTCAAGAACTTTATATTTAAAAAAACAAAAACATTTTTTATGTGTATGAGTGTTTTGCCTGCATGTGTGTAAGTGCGCCATGTGACTGTAGTACCTAGCAAGATCAAAAGAGGGTGTCAGATCCCCTGGAACAGAAATTAAGGATGGTTATTAGCTGTCATGTGGGTCCTGAGAACTGAACCCAGGTCCTCTACAAGAGCAGCCAGTGCCCTTGACTGCTGAGCCATCTCTCTTGCCCCAAGAATTGAATTCTATATCCTCTTCTACTGAGATTTGGTGGGTGGTGACTAATACATAATACTTGTCTCTTCTTTCTTAGGTACTACATAAGAGCTTGTTTATAGGTTTTAGTCTCAATATTTGTATATGAGGTTAAGAAGAAGGTACTTAAAAACTGATTTTTTAAATTTTCCTTTAAAATGTTTTCGTACCTTGAACATACTATGTTGACAATACTGTGAAATTTGGGGAGGCTGACATATGTTTGTTGTATGCCTCAGTCCCTAACTTAACTCTTTATTTGATAGGGAAACATTTGTTTCATATTTTTAATTTTTTTATTTTATGTGTATGAGTGTTTTGCCTTCGTGTATGTGAGTGCACCCATGTAGTGCAATGCCAGTGGAGGTCAGAGAGGACCTTGGGTCTCCTAGAACTGGAGTTACAGACAGTCGTTAGCCACCATGTGGATGCTAGGAATGGAACCCGGGTCCTGTGCAGGAGCAGCCAATGCTTTTAACCCCTGAGCCATCTCTCCAGCCCCTATTTGTTTCGTATTAACCTGGACCTATGCCAAGAACAAAGTAGCAAAGAACACCAAAGAAGATAGAAAAGAACAGCAAACTGTGCTCTGCGGTAACCTCTCCCCTTATCACACGGGTGCAGTCGTCCACTGTGAAGATGGAGAGCATGAGCTTTGGCAGCATTTCTCCAGGAGGAGTAAAGCTGGAAATTTCTACCAAGGAGGTGCCAGTAGTTCACACAGAAACCAAAACTATCACATATGAATCATCACAGGTAAGATGGACTATGAAGACCAGGGGCCTAGTGCTTTGTGACTCAGGGCACTTAAGTGTAACCACACAGTATCAGTTTGTAAGATCTAGAAAATCCCATAGCCAAAGCAGCTCCATCAAGAACACTGTGTGATCATTGTGATTTTATCACATTGGAGCTGCAAGTGACTTAACCAAGCCTTCAGATAAGAAAAAGGCTTAGAATTCTGGGTATATGGCCACAGATGAGAGAAAGGACTCGCTTTGCCCTGTAGACTACTCAGCTTTCTATAGTCTCCTCTTTTTTTTAACCCTCCATACCTGTGGCTTTGCCAATATTTTACTCCTGGAGCTCCCCTATTCTCATGGAACTACACAATGACTATAGAAAATACTCATTCCTTCCCTCCAAAGGGAATGGCTTCCAGTACTCCCATTGATACCCAAATCTTTGAGTGCTCAAATCTCTTGACTAGAATAGTGTATCACTTCCTTATAACCTGTGACATCTCTATACACTTTAAATGATCTCTAGATTACTTACTCTACCTAATACAGTGCAAATGCTAACTGGATGATTTCTGTATTCTGCTGTTTGATGAATAATGTGCATGTTCAGTAAAGTCACAAATTGTTTTTAATATTTTCCATCTGCGGTTGATTGAGTCTTCAGATGCAGGATGGGCTAGGAAGGGCCGATTGTATTCAGTTGCTGTAGAGCATTAAGGAGCATAACATCTTGTGAAGAGGAAATGCAAACACCCCAGTGTGGTATGTGTGCTCCCATTCTCACTTAGGCTGATCCTGGGGCAGATCTGGAGCCAGGTGTGCTAATGAGTGCACAGACAATCACATCTGAAACCACCAGTACCACCACCACCACTCACATCACCAAAGTAAGTAGAGTGGGCACCCCTCACATTCCGCTTGAGAGCTGGAGAAAAATACTGCTCATCAGAACCCCTGACAACCTGGGATGCACAAAGAAATAGTGACTTGCCTGTCAGATGCCAGGATGACTGTATTAACAGTGAGCTTTCAGACTTCTGTATTTACCATGCACTTATCCCACTACGTTCATTTCTGTTGAGGAGTATTAATTCTCATATCTTTAATGTTTACTCCAGTGATGGCCATAGAATAGAAACTATTATTAGTTTTCTATTAATAGAAACTATTATTTCTAATGAATTTCTATTAATAGAAACTATTATTAGTTTCCTAGAAACTTAGCCTAGTAAACCCAAAGAACTCTACCACATCCTTACTTTTGAAAGTAAACGTTTTAAGTATCTGTGGTAGAACTGTCATTCACTTTTGGAAAACAAATGACAGCCACCACTTTCTGCCCCTACGCAGTGAGTAACCTCATAGTTTTTCTCTGTCTCCTTCAGACTGTGAAAGGAGGCATTTCGGAGACAAGAATTGAGAAGCGAATAGTCATCACAGGAGATGCTGATATTGACCATGACCAGGTAATGTGTGTGAGACCATAAATACTCTGAGAGAGAAGTAAACCCGAACATGTTGGCCTTGCAGTTCCCAATGCTATTCCTCTAGTTCAGCATGTATTCTAAGAATGTTTCTTTTCCAATTAACTTTCCAATATATGATTTCGAATCCTTTGTAATCATTGTACCTCATTTGTAAATTGTGACTATAGATTTAGTTCATAAGTCTTCACCTTGCTCATGCATGTCCCACCTCCTTTTTGTTTTTGCCCTTCTGTGATTTCCTGGGGATAGGCGCTGGCTCAGGCAATTAAAGAAGCCAAAGAGCAGCACCCTGACATGTCAGTGACCAAAGTAGTGGTCCATAAAGAGACAGAAATCACACCAGAGGATGGAGAGGATTGAGCAGAGGTAAGAGGCGATGCTGATTCTCTAGGCTTGCTAGGCTGACATCCAGCATGCAGCACTTCCCTCCCCTCCTTTGCCTGACCCCTTTCCTCTGTCCTCTCACTGGCATGTGGGGCTGGTTGCCAGAAGGATGTGGGTGCTGAGTTGCCTCCCATTTGGACGTTCTAGCCTCAGGGCTGTTTCACATCCACTGCCAGTCAGAGACGAGGGAAGACAGAGCCTCTGCTTGCATGATCTTGCTGCTCTTATTTTTTTAATCTGGGCCTCCCTCATGTCATTATCCAAATTTGAGATATCAGATTTGAATTTACTTGTCATGTGGCCTAACCAGAACCAAAGCAGGTTGTTCTGAGACGTTCGTGTATCCTAACTAGTAGAGGAATTAGCTCTACTAATTTCTGCCTTTGATGACAGCATCATCCCTTAGAAGTGTGCTCTTCCATATTTGTTAATACTTCAGATTAGTTTGAAACCTGAGCACTAACTTTCTTTTTGAATGTCTTATATTCCCTATATTCTGAGATGATTTTCCCCGAGTGTACCATTTTGTCCCAAGAGGAAGCAAAAATACAGGCTTGTGGTGCCATTTTCCTCCAGAAAGTGCATGCCTTGCCAACCCCTGTGTGGCCAGCATCATGAGCAGGCTGTGTCCTCTGTGTGCGCACATCCATGTCATGTATACTGGTCTGCCATGCAAAGACTCAGGTGGCCGTGAGCATCCCTCAGGAGTGCTGAATGCAACTGCGCAGCCACCTGCACATGTGCTTCTAGGATAAGACACTGTAGAGGGTTAGGTTGTCCGGATCAACTTCAAAAACGTTTAGATTGATGTGTAGCATCTTAAAAAGAAATGCTAAGCTCACCTAGATTCAGATTAATTTATTTGGAAGATGGAAAACAAAAAAGGAAAAAAGTTTCTTTTTTTTTTCCTCTAGTAGTGAGTGGGCTTCAGGCACCTGGGTGATGTAGGCTTTAGAGAAAGCCTGTCATGTGTGACAGTATTGTCAAAACGAGCGCTTTAACTTCCAAGATACTTCTTTTTGACCTTGTTCTAAGCAACTCCTCTGATGTTTGCAAATGCGAAACTAATGCAATCTTTTGCTTCTACAGGAATAACTTAGCTTGCACATGAACCCAGTCATGTTAACCATTAGGAAAACCAGAGCCTATATGGAGTTCCCTCTTCTAACCCAACTGACTTCTGTCTGTCCATGGAAAATTCCAATCCAGAAGAACTGACCTTGACCATTAATAAAGACACTGGCAGAGAGATCCTCCCATAATAAAGCAATCCGAATCAACATCACTAAACTGATACTGCATGAAGCAACGCTAAATCACAAAAGAGCAGCATTTTTAATTTTCACAAAAATGTCTCCGTTTTCAACTCTGCACGTTCATAACCAACAATATAAACCGTGATCTCATGTAACACAACTCATGCCTTTCATAGTTTATTATTACTCAACAAAATTACAATTTCTTAGGTGACAAATCTTCTGTTTACAGATAAATGGTGATTACCCTAAAATGCTATAAGCTGTCTAGGTCCGGTGTGTCAGATTTATCCCAGATTAGATGCCAATACCGAATTTATTCAGTAAACAACTTGAATCTTGTCCTCATTTCATCTGGTTTTATTATTCTCACCCATGAGCAGCAATGACTCTCTGACCCTCTGGACATATTTAATGCTTACAATCTTGCTTTGTGTCTCTAATTTAATTTGTTATAAAGTAGTACTGATTTTAGCACACTGATGTAATTTGTTCCTAGTCACTTGCTTTGGTGTGCGTTCAATCCAGAAAGTTTCCCAGAGTTCTAATAAATCTTAAATATGTAAATTGTCATTGTTTGGGGAAGAAAACTTGTACTTTTGTTAGTTTACAATATTATGACAATTCACTGCAGGTAAATCTGCCGGGCCTCTGTTGCTTTGTGTTTGTTCTTTCTTTTTCCTTGTATTTTTTTTTCATTGATTTTTTTTTTCTTTTACTTGAACAACAACAAAAAAAGTGTTTTATTTCCAAATCTGGTCCATCTTTACAATCTAGTTCAGAGCCAAGCCTTAAACTGTACAGAATTTCCACTGTAATTAAATCTATTTAGTGTTTAGTTATAAATAGCCTTCAGAAAGATATATTCTCCATTACATTGTCAACTGCATCACGGTCCATGGTGAATGATATTACTGCATTGCAAAATAAAAAATGGCAAATGCATTGAAAGTTCTCATTTTCCATGTTGAGTAATTTCAGTATTGTGTTTGTTTAACCTAGAAATCACATTCACATTACATCACTGGCCTCAGAGCTGTACTGTAGAGCTATCTATCGGTTTTGGCCTGAGTCGGCAATTCACATATTCAGTATATGATATATGGATCCTGGGAGGGGTTGGAGATGACAGCAGAATGCATTTATATACGTATTTGGGAGCCTATAATGGCTTCAAAAAGGACATGATAGAATCGCATTTTCAATTTTTCAATTTTACTAGGAAAGGGGCATTGTGTTTCTGAGTGCTTTTAATCTAGCAAAGAGCCACCTCTTCAGACACCAGCTCCGAGCTGAATGTATCAAATAATGTGAACTGCAAAGACCTGGACAACCTGTGCCAGCAGCTCATTCTTGTCATTTTCCCCCATGGCAGAGACAAAGGCTGAGAGAATTTGTTCGCAGCCACCAAGGTAGTGCCTGCATTTGCTAACATCTCCCACCATGTCATGCTTTACCTAACTTTCTGAAAAATTAGAACTGGGGAAAGGGGAAATAGCTCAGTGAGTAAATGGCATGGCTGAGTTTGAGCCCAGGAACTTTTTTTTTTTTTTTTTAATTAATAAGCCAGGTGCAGTGGTGCATGCTTGGAATCTCAGGGCTGGAGAGACAAGAGGATCCTTGCAATTTGTTAGCTCCAGATCAGTGTGAGACCCTGTCTCAAAACCAAGGAAGATGGCTCCTGAAGTACAACACCAGGGTTAACTTCTAGTCTACACAAGCATGCACATGTGCACATACACTCACACAAACACATTCCCACAAGGACATATAAACACCAGGGTAACTTCTAGTCTACACAAGCACGCACATGTGCACATACACTCACACAAACACGTTCCCACAAGGACATATATACAGAGAGAGAGAGAGAGAGAGAGAGAGAGAGAGAGAGAGAGAGAGAGAGAGAGAGCTGTCTCTAAGAGAGAGAGAGAGAGAGAGAGAGAGAGCTGTCTCTAAGTCTTCCATAGAAAGTCAAATTCCTGTCATTTGTCTCTGGAGGAACATCAGCTTGTCCTGAAGCATTGTTTTGTTTGTGGGCAATCAAAAGTTTATCAGAAAGTTAATACTTTACTTGACAAATGGTGTCCTGACAGTCTGCAGCCATCTGCTTAGTCTGTGTCCATCAAGTTAGCCTGGTTCTTCCTAACCAGACCTAATGCTTTCATGTTTCCCGCCTTAGCAGTGATATGCACTGTCAAGAGAGTTATATTTTCAACATTGTTTCTCTCTCTTTCTCTTTCTCTCTCTCTCCCCTCAGATTTCTCCCAGCCTCTACCCACAGCAGTTTCCAAAGCCTTTACCCAGTGTTTAGGTATTTTTGACAGAAATATTGACTTGTTAGCACCGAAATCTGGTATTTTTTTTGGGGGGGGGGGGTTGTTTGTTTTTTTCTCATTTGCTTGATTACCACAAAATTAGCAGCTGGAAACGGAACACATTATTGCCCTGTGGTTTCTGTTGTTCAAGAGTTAAGTGTGGTTTTGCTGAGTCAAACTTGATAAGACTAATTAGGGTGTTATCTGGTCTTGGGGCCCTTTCTGGAGGTTCCACTGGGGAGGTCTATACTTCCAAACCCCCAAAGAGGAAGATACACTTCCAAGTTCCCTGGGTAGTTTGCAGTATTTGTTTCTTGTTAGTCTGGTGTTCTTCTTGGCATTTGCTTCTTCAAAGCTGTCAGTACTAGAGTGTTGCAGCTCAGTAGCAGAGCGCTAGCCCAGCAACACAGTGTCTCACCTGACATAACCCAGTCAAGGGTGTGGCTTCTTATCACCGTGCCAGGTTCTAATTAGATCCAAGTCATGGCTCCTGCCCACTGTCTAGCATTCCCTCATACAATTGTTTCCAAAGTTAGATTCACTAATGTATAAAACTGCCTTACACATGGTTAAAGGCCTAAGTAATCTCAGTGTTTAGTATTACTACCAGTACTGTAGAAAGGGCCTCAGATACTCACTTTCAGAAAGGAAAGCATTCCATGTCTGGGAGCTATTTGCCTCATTGAAAAGTGTGCTTCTCAATTTGCTTGAAGGTACAGGTCCACGGTATCTATTGTAAGAATTTTTAATTGTTTTGAATAAGCAGGAAAAAAATTGCAAACTTAAGACAGTGTGACATATACAATCGAACCTTTGGTTTTACAGTGATCTCTTGAATGTCTACAGAACTCTTAGCTCTTGTGTCATTAGCCCTTTAAAACTGCCTTTGGGTGTTGGAGAGATGGCTGAGCATTTATGAACACTGGCTGTTCTTGGAGAGAACCAGGGTTCAGTTCTTAGCACCCACATCGTGGCTAATAACCTTCAGTAATTCCAGTTCCAGGTGATCCATCACCTTCTTCTAGCCTCCAAAGACATTGCACACATAGGTGCACTTACATACAAGCAGGCAAAACACTCCTAGACATAAAATTTTTTATTGAATTTTTGAGATTTTCATGCAATTTATCTGATGGTTTTTAGAGTTCCCTCTCATATCTGCATTGCCCTGATTATCCCCTGCTCAATTTATTTTTTAAATAAAGCCAATAAAGTCTAATTTGTGCCTCCAAATGTCCTTCAGTATGGGTCCTCGTTAACCTACCAAGAATCCTGTGCCATCTTCTGGCCTCTGAGGGCATTACACATGCAGTGTTGTACATGCAGACAAAAATTCATACTCATAAAATAAAAATAATTTTAAAAAATTTTTAAGCCAGGCCTGGTGACACATGCCTTTAATCCCAGCACTTGGGAGGCAGAGGCCGGTGGATCTCTGAGTTTGAGGCCAGCATGGTCCACATAGGGAGTTCCAGGCCAGCTGGGGCTACAGGGAAACCCTGTCTCAAAAAGACCAAAAAGGATGTTTTTTAAATAAAAAATGGGTAATATTTAAAAATGTATTTTTTTCTGGATGCAGAGTGAATTCAGTGATAGTCCTTCAGGTAAAATGTTCCTGCTTCCCATCTAGTGGAGCTCAGCCTGGGTGCCTGGCTATGTGGAGACATCCTGCTTCCCCTTTAGCAATGGGATGAGTGATAGCGCCACGGTGGTGCTGAGACATCCCCACTGGTTCAGGGAGGAAAATAAAGTCAGTGGGACTGATGTGGGCATTTCCTGCTGTTTGGAAAAATTCTTGACTGGAAGAATTTCTCATTCCTTTGTAGTTTATATTCCTTTCCAATTTCACAGAGCCCCCATGTCATAGTGAGGGCCAGAGAGAGATGTACCCTGAAGGGTTGCATAGCTTAGTTTTTAAACTATTGCTATAGTCCATTTCCTTTGATTTTATCAACGTCATCGAGCATTTCTATCCCTGCATTAAATCGACATCGACCTTAGCTATGCTTTTGAATAGCAACACAAAGTCTAGAACTTAAATCCAAAATTGTTTCTAACCTACAAATCGGGGTTATATATACCTTCCATCGTGTGCCTTCTTAGTGCGTTAACCCACTTAAGAAGTGTCTGCCTTGGATTGCCATAGAAGTGGCCTTATATTTTAATGAGAATTTGTTCCTAAATAAACTGGACTGCTCCAGTATTTTAAAATACATTATTATAACAAATCATTGATGTGTCTAAAATGGTGTTCTCAAAAGTTACATTTTGTTTGACAGTTTATCAGAACTCTGACTGTGAGGAAGGCTGATGAAAAAAAACGGATGCTCCTTCCTGGGTGCAGTTATTGTACACACATTTATGTACACACATGCGTAAACTCAACTCCAGAAATGGGGTGTGGGCTGCAGAAAAACTAGCACTGGGGAGTTCTTAAGGGTCCTACCTCAGCCATCACACCATTGTTGACTCCCCAGAGCATGTGCCACCCGTTTAATACAAAATTACAAGGACATTATGTTAGTCTCTTTTTCTCACTGTAACAAAGGGCCTTGGATAAACAATTTAAAAGAGGAAAGATTTATTTTGACTTTCGGTTTCAAAGGTTTTAATCCACGCTCAGCTGGCTGTGGTAAAGCAGAATGTGACCACAGTGATGGGGGTATTTGACAGAGGATGCTGCTCACCTCATAGCAGACAGGAAGCAGAAGGAAGGAAGAGGCCCTGGGTTAGATATGTTCTTCAAAGGCATGCCTCAGTCACCTGCTTCCTCCAGTCATCCACATGGTCTGTACCTTACAATAGTCTACTGAATTCTAACTCCATCGATAGATTAATCCATTGTTTGGGTCAGAGCCCTAATCACTTCCTAAAAGCCTCACCTGTGAACACTGCATTAGAGACCAAGTCTCCAATACATGAAACTTCGGGGGACATTTCATATCAAAATCACAGCATACACTAGAGGACATCTGATTTGAAAACAAGAGGTCAACTTTATGAAAACGCATAACATAGAAGTACATGAGTAGAAACAGCTCGTTTGTGTGGGTGCGCTGCTCATCCTGTTATATAAGCCTAGGAGGTTTTCACACTGTCTCATAGTATTTCCTCAGTCTGCCAGAGATGCTTCCCTGCTGTCATAAATCTGCCTAGATTACAATGCCTCGACTCTCTCGGTAGCCTACTGACTACTGTTTCCATATTCCAGCCCCACATGCTCTCCATTCCCCTATACTGCAGCCTGCAGTCTCTTAAGATGTAAAACCTGACACTCCTGTGCTTAAAACGTATTTGACTTTTCATTGCTCTTTATACATGATCTGAAGTCATGCACAGGCTGGCTCCTACCCACTTATTTTTCCAGCCATATATCCAGCAGTATGTCACTCACTTTCTGATCTCTCCCCCTGCTGCAGCCCTATTTAAGTAGTGGAACCATCCCCAGCTTTTCACATAGCCCTCAGTTCTATTTTAGATTTGAGTTCAAACTCTCCTGGTTTTACCCATCATCTTTCCCTTTTACATGCCCTCAAAACAACATCTCTTTACTTCCTTGAGATGAAACCTTGCAGTGTAACCCAAGCCTGAGTCGCCATCCTTTTGCCTCAACTTCCCACGTGCTGGGATTATTGA